TTTCACTGATCATGCATTACCAATCTCAATAACTGTAGAACTACCTTCTGATCATTAGAACTGGATTTGTGATTAGTCTTTGATTAGTAAAACCACTAAAATTTACATTTTATCTCACATAATTTGTGATCGGTCTTGAGGAAACGTAGACATACATATGTGGCTAGGGCCCAATGCCACAAAACGTCGGGCTTACCCAATGCAGAATTATGGTCTATTATGATATTAGTACTGCTCTAATAGTAGACCTGATCCTAAGTCACATCATTGTCCACACCGACTCATCGCATAGTAACAATCACCAATATACAATGGAGAATAAACTTGGGCCAGAGATAGAACTGTAGCGTGGGGTCGAGTCGCGATTGACTATGAACACCATTACAAAGGAACGCGTGCCAGGATATCCATAAAATCCCTTGGAAGCCAAATATCAGAAGGCAGTTAAAGGACCAAGTCGATCTCGTGGTATCGAAAGAATACCAAGATCGTGCCAGGATACAAGCTTGGTTACAGAACGTAACCGAATCCACGCAAGTTCACAAGCAAAGTGTAAGAATAATGGATGCTTTTTAGCACAGTTAAACAAAGAGCACATTAAACAGTCACTGGTACGATTGGTTATAATAATAATTGTTTTCAATAAACCAATCGTGTTCTCGTGATAAAAGTGAGTCACTACAGAACAATATATTCGGTATGAATGAAAGATTATGTTACAACACTTGAGGGCGACTACGCTTGCAAGGGCCCAAGCAACACAAAAAGGGGAAATAAAGGGGTAAATGCTTTGGTAGCGAAAAGGGAAATAAAGGGGAGAACGCATCAGAATGTCGCCTTTTTCGCTTGTTCATAGAAAATAATGCGTCTTTCTCCCTTTTTCACCGTTTTGTCTATAAATTACTGACTTATCGCCTAAATATCCGCCGAATTGTCGAATTTTCGCCTCAATATCCGCTGAATTGTCGAATTTTCGCTTAAATATCTGTTGAATTGTCAAATTTTTACCTAAATATCCGCCGAATTGCCTACTTTCCGCCTAAATTCACGCGGAATCGCCTACTTATACGTTTATTTGTCTACTTTTCGCCCAAATGCACACGGATCTCCCTATTTTCAACCTATTGACATAACTCCAAAGGTCTCTCATGTTCGCCTTCATTTTCAACAACAGACCAAAATAAATCTGCAATGTACTGGAAAACCGGTATGTTTTTGAAAAATTCTATTCAAGTGAAAAATCGTTTTATTGTACAACATTAGAGCAGAAGGTTGAGCGTCAATCGTTTAGTATATCCATTGTAATTGCCAATTCATTGTTATTTGAGAAGACTTACAAAAGATGAAATAGGTGATATATTATTCACAAGGCATTTGCACCTAATCTAAAGTTAACTGACACAAACACACATTCTCAACACTTCTATAGTTTCCCAAGTAAGTAATAAAGTAAGCTCTTTGACAAAATAATGTTTATTAAAATGTAGGTACAACATAAAAGAAATGGCATGGATTATTCCCTTCAGCCACATTCGTTCGCCTATTGAGAATTGAAGTAGTCGTCCTGTGAATTATTAAGCTTAAAAAACCGAAAAAACTCACAACAATCTATGAATTACATGTTTTGGCACAGCCAAATACTTTAAGCTAAACTTACGGTTATGTCCGTTAATACTGATGACTGTAACTATGTAGCCCTAAGGAAAGTTATCACTTATAATTAATACATACCTGCCCTTCTTATGGCTCGGCACCGAGCCATGCTGTCCGATCAAATCGAATTGATTCAATTCATTTTTCCCGTCTTCTTCATCGTTGAGTTTTTTCCACGTCAAATGTAAAATATCAATTTTTCCAGTTGTCTCATCTTCAGCTTTGAGGATTGTGTGGTAGGGGTCCCAATGCCACCACACATTCAGCTAAGTAGTGACCTTGTGGCAGTTGACTATGATCATCACTGCAGATCGATTACGTGCCAATTACCAAGCTAAATCCCTCCACAGGATAACTACTAGAAGGGCAGTTGTAGATTGTAGTTAGGATATATTTGTTGGTGATTTTGTGGTATCGAAACAATACCGAAATCACGCCAAAGTTTACAGACGAGACTACCGTGAGTACGTAAGTTCAAGACACAAACAATGGAGAAAGTCTGTTTTTGGTACAATTAAACGAAAAGGTACACTAAAACAATCACTCGTACAGCTGCTTAAAATAATCAATGTTTCCATTACACCAATCGCGTTCTCTTCATATAAGTAGATCACTACAATACAATAATTGAAAGACGGATAATGATGTCACAAATATTCGAATTGTGACAAAGTCTTAACTAGTAGCAACCTTACAGTCGAAGTATGCCAATCCAGTAAATCAGGAAAGAAGGAGTTCCAAGATATATTTGGAAGGCTATTGGTGTGTCGGGGGAACATTTTGTCTAAGCTGGCTTGCAGTTGAAATGCAAGCGTTACATGGCATATACCCTCCCCGCGATCTGATGCGGGTGCGTGACCGAGCACCTTTAGCTAGGTGGGTCCAATAAAACTAATTAGGTTAGTATCAAACGTCGAAGACCTAAATAATTATTTATTTTTGGGACTTATTTACCGCTACACGGACTTAAGGGCTATTAATTTTTATGTAAAGCACTTGTAATTCCATTAAACTATATCACATGTTTTCATCAGCTTGTTTTTAAAGCTTACCTTTTTCTTCAGCGTATTCCTAAGGATTAGTTACTTAATATATTCTAAATACTCAACAAATAGCTAAGATGAAAGTTAGGTAGTAACTCATTCTCTAGGTTACCGGACTGCTACTAACTCATTACATAAATCTTGAATAGTGTTGTAAATCACCAGCGTAGATGATCTCTGTCGAATGATTGGGGGCCTACTAAAGTAGGATGGGAATGGTGTAACGAACCATCTAACGTCAGAGTCACATCTCACGGTCAGTATTTTATGTGGATTGCTCCATCGACGTATCGAGGTGCTAAAGATGCTTTGAAGATTGTACAACACGAAGGATGTTATCGCAGAAATAAATTAGTTAAAGTTCATGGCGAACGATTAACTGATGCGCATTAGTCATGCTTGGCCTTGACAGGGATCGATTCGATATTCAGTGACCCAACTGCCGGATGATTTGGCTAGGGCTTAGTGACAATTCACTGGCCCTACAGTGTTGACACAGTCGCATTAATCAATTTCTTGATAATGTAAATTATTCTTATTCTGTCAGGTTAGTTATTAATGTCACAAGCCATCTTAACAGAAAGACTTAAATATAAGTGATAGATTTTGGCGATCTAACTAAGATGTAATAAGACAATGAGACATTAGGATTACATCATTTTAACCCATACCAATAAACATAAGCGATTCAAGTCTCACCCAAAAATGTAACATGGGCGTGACATTTTATTTACTCATTTATTTAAGGTTAAGGAGAATGTGAACATCTGACAAACCTTTCAAAACACCATACTCACCCTACTATTGTTGTGAGTTATAATAAAAATTCTCAAATACAGTCAAAATGTCGCGAACGCAATTTAATTAAAGTGCGTATAAATAATAAAGTTAGTTTCAACCTGAAGCTTACTCTGCTAAATAGTACCACTTCCGTTGATAGAATGAATTTTAGTAGCTTAAGTGAACCAATTGAATAGCTAGTCAAACTACAATGGATTTCATTTTATTTAATCAATAATAGAACAGTTGAGTCATTTAAAATAGGATATAAAACAGCCACCAGTAGTTTCGTACGCTAAATACTGCGTAACAGTAGCTGAATTAAACTAAAATAGATTTTAACTGGATAAGCCATTGTTCTAAATTAAGGATGATGGATTTTACAACTTAGATTTATTATGAGTACACTTCAAAGGCCATGTAATAAAAACCAGGAAAAAGGTCGTAAGATTACGAGTGACTAATAATCAACTAATGTACCATAACTAAGTAGATATAATACAATGTCGATAATTCTCATGGTTAATGTGAAAACAATATTCGTAATGTGAAAAAAGTTAAAGAACATAAATGCACAAATTCGAATACCTTATAAGAAAAGGTTAAAGTAAATATATAAACTGAAAGTCAGGAGTAAGCATTCCCTATTCTCGATATGTGGAGGAGCTGGATCAAATAAACAAGATTGACACGTATGCCCTACACTTTAGGATCTAAAGGTTAATCCACTGACACAATTGTCCACCCAAATATTTTCCCCAATTTGACAATATTAAGGATTCATAATAAACTCGGTAAACTTTCTTACAAAAAATTTATAGTTTATATTGACACACTAAACAGTAGTACTTTGTAACTTTCCAGCTGATTATAGATTTTCAATAATATTCAAATGACTGATAAACAGAGGACGGAAAAATATTGTGTTGGTGAATTCACCTATTCCGAATTTAAATGCCACTGTCTCACATCGTTTGTATCTAATATGTCTCTGCAGCATTGTAAATTACACTAATATTTTGCGCTATTTTATTTGTGACTAAGTTCAATGTTTTCTTGTTCTAACCTCTTACAAATAATCTAAAAATAATGGAGTTTAGCTATTTCCTTTGTCCAGGATATGGCGAAACCGTAGCCCAGTTGTATTTAGATGTCAGTTTTTACGATCTATCTCGGACTCTTATGTGCTCACCTTTATAGTGCTTCACATTTTGGTTTATGTGGTTGTAGTGTTACACCAAATGATTTGATCTAAGCATATGACATTAAATACACGAATTTTCATATTCGAAATAAGCCAATATTTAGGATAAGTTCGGTTAGGCATTCTTTCAAATTCAGTGCTAATATAAGACCTACCAGGCCATCATATTCTAGTGATTAAACCACTCAGTGTTACTTAACATTTCTAAACACAGAGTTGAGACAAATGAGTAATGTCTGGAGGTAAATGGTTAAACAATTTTTATAATTATGCACCTAAGTCCTTTGACGATCCCATTATAAATTCAAAAAAGGTTTCTGTCTTGACTAAACAAATTCACTTTTTAAAATAAAAACATACATAAAAGCAATGAAAAAATTCTTTGTTTACATTCGAACACAGACACAATGACAAAATAGAAAAAAAAGGAACTGAGAAAGATACGCTTACAACAGGAAAAAACGGGAAGAAAATATGGAAAGTGAAAAGAAAACAAACAGACAAGCAAGAGTACACGTCACATTTGAAGAGATGGAGAGAAATGATGTAAAAATTAAAACTGAGCAAGTGTTTTAGAAAAAAAGATAACTTGGAGCCAAATCATATACACATGAGAGTACTATGTTGAACAAATAGGATTGATATTAACTATCATTTACAAATCATCCCTGGATTCTTTCCCTGTGACAAAATGCACTTCCCATTCATCACTTAATGAAAGATCAGGTTTACGAACAACAACAACGCGTGGTACGTGTTTAAAACCAGCAGAAAAAACAGAGGATGGAGTAATGGAAAACCCTATATTTCTTCGTGGTTTATGGGCATCGATCACAGTAATTCTTTCCAAGGGACTACTGAACCCAACAATAACAAATCGTTCAATTTTCGGTATAAAAACATCATCTTTAGGTAGTAATATGGAAGTTTCACCTGGTAATGGTAAACGTTGTAAGCGCAATCGTCCACCATGCACACCTTCACCCGTTGGGTCGACAACTCGTTGGTAAATAATTTTGAAAAACTGGGCATTTGATTTAGAAGTTGAATGGAAATCATCTATGTATATATAACCAACAGCATCAGGCTTCTGAGGGTCCAAACAAACAACAAATGTATAGGGATCACTACGCATAAGCCATGATGAACGACGTATACGCTCTTTTCGTGGTATAATCCATCCACCTCGATAAAATACAGGTATGGAATTTATCGTTACTGGATATTGTGTCGATTGTCCACCTGCAAATACCTACAATTAAATATAGGAATTTCATATGACTTTTTCTATTGATAAATTTAACTTCGCAAGAATAACAAATACAGACTTTATCGAATCGACCAGAACAGTTTATGATAGGACAACAAACATAATTCCTTGATTTAACAATTAGTAAAATGTAAGCTTTAATAACATTACTCTGTTAAATAACAGTTATAGACACATGATATTTTATTTCAAAACATCAAAACACATTCGTATTATGGTTTATGGAGGCATTAAAAACCTTAACTGATAATATATAGATACCACTGACAAGATTTGACTTGATAGTTACATATAAATTGATCATTGGGTAGAAGGTTATTAATAAATATATTTTTGTTATATCATAATGATTAAGAAAATTGTATGTCTGACGTTTCGTGACTTAATGTAAGCCACTTCTTCAGCATAAATAAATAACCGAATTAAATTAAGTACTAAGCAGACTGAAAAGGCGATTCTTAATTAATATAGATTATTTTGGTAGCTTAAGGTAGCTCTTGATAACTATAACAGTATTATGGAAAAAAAGACATTCATGTACTTGTCTGTTGAACTCAATAAATAAAATCATTCTATTTTTTCAATGAGTTTGGACATTACTCAATGAATATTTTGATTACCGGTATAATTAAAGACAAACTGTTCCTTTAACATTATTTTACCATAACTCTATCTCTTCTTTTCATAGAGTTATAAATAAAAGGTCTAGATTTTTATGTAGGATTCACCCTTATTTTCACATTACATATTAGCTGAGGCAAAACTATTTAAAACCCCATACAAATGATCATTTACCTCAAACGATGGATAATGATACCATGTTCCTTTTGGAAAATATAACTGCACATAACCAACACCTTGATCAGTAACAGGACTAACAAGCACAGCTTCTCCAATCATATATTGATCATCCAAACCAAACGTATTCACATCTTTAGGAAAATGAAACCACATTGGTGCCATAACTGGTTGACCGTTTGCTTCCGAACGAGCAAACAATGTATACCAATATGGAAGTAATTGATAGCGAGCTTGTATTGCCTTTCTGTGAAATAAAAGCGATCATTCTATTATCAAAAGTTGGAAAATATCTGGCTACACAAAGGAGTATTTCAATAATCAACATAAACTCAAAATATATGTTTAGATGCACACGGTTGTGGCCCAAATATGATGAGAAACAAACTATCTAAAGTTGCAACCATGTCCGGACTCAGACTCAAACTAGTGGTAGGATAACTACCATAGCTTATTATAATTAAAATGCTAATCAATGAAAAAATTATTAGCTTTCATATCCATATTAAAACAATAGTGACCGATTATGCCATTTTTAAAATTATTAATATTATTGAGCTACAGGTTTAATGGGTGCAAAGAGTGAGGACGTGAAAAAATTGTTGATTAATACGGCGACGAGTGTGACCAATAAATTTAAAGCAGTTGCTTTAATGTTATCCCGAGTGCTTGGACCATAATGATAAGAGATTCGAAATTCGCTGCCAAACCCTACTACAAGTTTGAATTTCTTTTAGTCGGGTAAATTTTCATGTCATCATCAACTACAGCGCAATGTATGTGGGGACGATTTAAACCAAGTATTTCGTGTAAAAGCATTTCCAACGATACAGTCAAAAAGTAATAACTGTGAAATAAGTCGCCGGAAGAATCTCGCTACACATATTTTACACTGGAAGGAAGCATTAAGAAGCTCAATGAATCCTCTTCACTTTGTTTTAATTATTTATACTAAATAAATTACGTCTGTGCGCTACGCTGACCAAGAATGTAACAGCCGGATTGTTTACCCTAATGAGCCTATAATGGATAATATCATGAACACAATACTATTGAGGTAAATGATTAAACCTTTAAACTAAAAGACATTTCGGCCATACTAAAACCTTGGTCTGATAATAACAAAGTTTTTCAGTGGCTTTAATTTACCTAAACATAGAATCAATTAAAACATGCTAGTTTCCAATTAAATGAAACCCATTTCGTGATCGTACCTTAATCAACAGTCAAGAGGTTAAGCTATTCTGTGCGATAGAAACTGCAGAATGCTTAATTCTTAAGACAGTCTCACTAAGTGATAACAGTTTCTGTGCAAAGTGAACGGTAGAAAATTGATGACAGTTTAAAGGTGGGGTGTTGTGACTTTATGTCCGGCTTTTATCACTTGATTTACCCGATTTATACGATCTAAGCACTGTGCCAAACCAATGACGTTCGACCGGTATGGGCAGTCTAGCGTCCTTATTGGTCCTATGTCCGCCTAGCCCGCCCACTTCAGTCCAGAACACCAGTACCAGCTTCCAATATGCGAATCGAATCATTTATTTCAGACATACTGGGGTTATATATAAATCAAACAGACCGCAACGCACCATAAAATAGGAAATAACATTTGTACATAATAAAGCCAAAAAGTGGTTGTGGACGTGGGAGGCAGTAGTTATTAAACTGAGCATAATTTAGGGACAGTAAATCGTATAATAATAAATAGGTCAAAATGAAGCTTATAATAAGAGGAATATAGATATACATAATCTAATTATTGAATAGTTACACCATAAGAATATATAGATAATATTAGTTAATTAATATGTCTCAGAAGTTACTCGTGATTTAATCTTCTCTCGGATATAACATGGGGGGTTATAGTGACGAATGTATTGAAAAATGATAATTAGCTTCTCTTGAGTACTCAGTGGACTAAAAAAGTCAAAGTTCAGTTGCAAAAACCATGAGACTTACTAATTACAATTTGCGCAATCTTTCATGATGTCATGTATTATCTCTAGAAATCTCGAACTATATGTAAAAACTTACAGTATCTCAACTTTGCGTCAATTAAACCTTAGATATGTATTATCGGTTAATAGGATGAATCAGTTAAGGTGAGTACATCAGAAAAGCGATGAGATCGTTTGGGTATATGAGCCAGAAGATATAGGATTTCAGATGATATGAAATAAAGTTGGAGTGGGTTAAACACTTTTTGATATATATCCCGAACAACTATTCTTTTAGGATAGTTTTTTTTTCTCTTGTGTTTTTCCCGGTTCATTGGTATATTTTGACCTGTTAGCTGAATCACCATTTGTGTGTTTTTAAAAGACATGGGAAACTAACCACATTTTTAACTAGAATTATCTTACTACCACTAAATACAATGATGAAAGTGCAAGTGAATGGTTTCGATAAATTTAAAATCTACACCAACTACCTTAGTCTGGAAGGCTGATCAATGTTATCATTTCCATACAAAGCACGTCTCATATTCTTCGTACAAAGAAGTCATTGTAATAAACCAGGAGGAATACTGCACTTACCGAATGGGATCAATATATTCCGAAGCCACTAGCCAAGGTTCACGGCGTTTGCTATCTATGTGTGCATGAGCTCTGAAGAATGGTTGATAAGCAGCCGCCTGATACCATCTTGTCAATAACTCAGAATCTGGATTGCCGAAAAAACCTCCCACGTCAGCCCCACATAGAGTTATCCCCACGATTGATATGCTGAGAAGCATAGAAGTTGAAATCTAGAGTAGTGAAAAATACCATGCATAGTAACCAAGTGCGTAATACATAATCTATAGTCGCTAAAACAAGTAACAACTGATAACATGTCTCATGAATTATTGTAATAAAATGTCGGTAGATATATCCAAAAATTAATAAGGTTAGTAGTTTTAATGCTAAAACCATTATTAGTATCCTTTAATCACAACAAAATGATCCAATACAAAAGATTGGCTGTGATTTGAATTGTATTTCAACTTACTAAAACCCATTTAATCAGTCAGTCATACGTAACATAGATCCTGAGAAAATGCGTACATCGGTTCAAGTCGCCGTACTCGATTAGCACAGCGAGATGAAATCGCCAAAGCATATACCAAATTAGTACATGTGGTAACAGTAACAGTGGTGGTAAAAAAGGCATCGAAGATATGATTGGAGAAGAGAACATGGATTAGTGGAATAAAATAATCTATGAGGTAATTTAGAAACTTAGAATCGATGGGAAGACAGAGAGGGAATGCACCTGCGCCACTCATAGTTTTTAATCATCGTTGAAACCAATCAAAACCATTCAAAGGATTTCCTACTTATTAGATGAGCCAGGTTACACCTGCGATTTATTTAATATATTGACCACAATTAGTTGTCCGATCAGTCTTCACCTTAAGGACTTAAAGTTATGGAAACTTAATAAAAAGATGTCAAATATTTTGACACACTATCTAAGGTCTTAATGCAGAAGGAACTGCAACTTATACGTTCCTCAGATCTGAATTGTTCACAGAATAATGCGCACGTACAAACACAGAGATTTCACTCGGAATTGTATGGTCTGAAAGCCTTTTTGTTAATAGATGCCATTTTAACTAAATGTCAACCTAAGGTCAAAATTTAGATGTAAATGTTTGAAACATGTGTACAAAATAACCGTTTCCTTTTATCTTTTATGACTAGTTTCGTAAACCGTATCAATACATCCTTTATTGAATGACCATAATTATAGATAAGAAAACAACTTTTAATGATTGCTCTGAAAACCGTGGTTATTATAATTACACGGGACAATGAATGAAACTAAATCAAGCACACATTTATCATAATTATTTACTAGGTATGATCCACACCGTTACCGAACTCTTTCATCAATGAAAATAAATCTTAAAACCAAGAAATTACCTTTAAGTGTGACCAATCAGCAGTATTGTCTCCAGTCCAAACAGCTGCTGTCTGCTGTGAACCGACAAAAAACGCACGGGTCAACACAAAGGGACGTTCTACGCCGTTCGACCTCAACATGAGTCCATCCCAAGTTGACTTATGTACGTATAACCCATATAAGTTATGCACATCACGATGCTCCCAATCACCTGCATGCTTAGCATCCTTCAAGCAAAAATGGAAACATATAACAAGGAAAATTAGCAAACAGGTAAATACGGAGATTTTCGACTTTGCAAAATGAAACTGATAATTAGTTCGCATTTCAACCGACTGTTTAGTAGATTTTTAATGTAGACGTTATTTAGTGGCTATTCTAAACTTGTCTGTCTTAGGATTACGAATTGTTTAATAAGAAAACACAAATAACGCGAGACCTGACATGTATTTATCACTCTAAGTCACTACATTCCACATCAAGATCATATAAAATTGAAGAGGGTGAAAATAATATCAAAAGTTGTGGGGATTTGAACATTGTATTTTTTAGTGAACAAAATCGAGAGATAAAACGTTAAGAACATTGATATGTTTAAAACGTAATGGGAGACAAGTAATCAAAAGACTTATATTACTGTGACAGATCTTGAGCCAATATCTCAGAATTTGGATTGCAAAATACCAATATTTCAACTAACACAAGACTTTCCCTTGATGACGCTACTGAGACTAAGGATTATTAGCTTTATCGATTGAGGTCAGATCCTAATTTGACAATCTTTAGGTTTTTTCAACCAGCTCCTATGATGGATCAGCAAGGATGCACTAGAATAGGAGTAACAAATCTTTTATACATCTCATTTCGGTGAGGGCTAGTAGTTTACTCAAACACTTCTACCTAATAACCTACATATAACATCAATATTGTTCACTCAGTTCTATTATGGCGAGGCAACGTTTGAATGACATCAACCTACCCATGTTTTCTAAGCCGTCCCTTGTACTCTTAATACAGAAGGAATCAGAATTTATAACAGCAAAGTCCCCAAATGCCCTGGTACAGTCGAGGGTGGGGAGAGTCCACTCTCCCTTTCGAAATACTCTCATATGGCCACGAGCATACAGCCACCGTCAGGGAAGTCCTACTCACTGCCTTCTTGCGGTGGGGGTGTTTTTACGAAATAAAGAGGACGAAAAGTGAATGTTCGGCGCTTTAACCGGGTTGGTGGACACGGAGGTTTCACCTAGGAGAGTTGGAAAACTCTGATTTAAAACCAGTGGTGAACATGGGCTCCTAAATCGTGGGGGAACAAGTGGAGTATGAACCTATTGTTGATCGCTGGCTACCACGGAACTGCATCTCCTAACACTGCTTCACTGACTTGTGTGTTAGACCTAATTAAATCTTGTCAACACCCAAACCATCATGACTGATAAAACTTAAATAAGTGGTAGACAGGGTCAACTTATTAGTCTCCTGCTGTCAAGATACATGATAACACAAACCATCTTAGGAACATTAAATTCGAAGAAAAAGAAACAGGATCGCAACGTCACTTGATACGTTTAAAAGTTCACTCTTATAAGTTATCAGAAGACAAATGTATACAGTCTGTGTACATCACATCGTTGAAACTCTTTAGGTAAATCAATACCTGAGAAATCAGGCAAAAGTTACCCAATAGGAGGATATTCACAGAATTGTTAAAATGTGGAAGGCGGACATCTTCGACAGAGCAGTGGCTTAGTGGTCAAAGCACCTGACTTTCAATTATTATATAGCTGGTTGCAGCTTTGGTCTCAACAGTCAACTTTCATACAAACTGCAGCTTAAGGCTGAGTGTATGAAAGCGCACTCGGAAGAACGGTGACATCAATTATCAAAGAACTAATGGACACTACTTGATCCTTTAAGGTTCTCTGATAAAGAGCTTTAAGCAAAGTGCATATTTGTGTTACGCCATTTATAATGGCAAAAACATTTTATAGAGCTTCTTGACTTACAACGTCTGATGGTGACGTCAAGTCAAATAATTCACCAACAGCAGTCAATGATGGAAAACTTGAAAATAACACGAATTCATCTTTTATGGATATTCCATTGTTAATTTGTGAAAAGTATGAAATTTAAGATGAACGGGTTAGGTTTCACAGGTAAATACCAAGACTGCTCTCAATAAAGCGTTGTAAACCCAAACTTTAACAGACAAACTAACATCAGGAGGGCACCAAAGATGACCCAAATAGGCACACGCTGTTTTTGGTTTTTACTATATATAGATTGATCTCATCTACAGAGCAACCATGTGCACTTAAAAAACAACAGAAATGCACGAACTATTCAACTACGTGCAACGGATCCCCACAAAAGGTGAGTGCAGGTACTAGCTCCTACCAGTCTTGTCCAAGTACTGTGGACTTAAGTGTTTAAGCATTTGGTGGCGAGTTAATATATGATCTATACATCCACAACCTGAACGAAAGCCAACCTACTCCTCAGGAGTCAGTCTTTGACATGTTCTGTAGTGTAGTGGTAGTCAGTCAATTAAACGATAAGATATACCTAAACTATTTTCACATAAATTATGTGGGACGTTTCAAAAGATGAATACGGCAACGTCATGATTCGAATACTGTAACATCATTAGTTCATATTTTTGCACAATTCAGCTAGTTATGAAACCATTATGTCATCTTAATTCTGGAAAATATTTAAAGCTATGGTTTAAACCTAGTTCAAAGTGATACTTGATTTCAATTATGTTTCCAGTTTATTCAGACAGAGACTCTAACCCATGTCTAAACAATGACCCACATAGATGCCCTACATTATACGAAGTAAGCACAATATTAAAGAGACCAGGAAAATATTTACAACACATATCCCGGTTTGTGCAAGCTGTAGCCAAGATCAAGGACAATAGTCCACAAACTTAAGTGGCCTGCTTACTTTATGCATAGTGACTTCAGGGCCATTGAAAACTGATGGTTCACCCATATCATTCCAGGTAAACATGGAATCTTTGCAAACAGGTTCATAAGTAAGGAATAGATTTGACCACCACTGCTGAACAGATTTATCAGTGAAATCAGGCCACGCACTAGATCCAGGCCAACACCAACCATCGAATTCGGTCCCATCTCTAGTTTTGACGAAAATCCCATTATTTTGGGAATTACTGAGAAAAGATTGAAAAAGAGGTTTCCATTAAGTATAAATTTATTAGTCAGAATGATGCGTTTATGTTCACAATACAAAGAAATGTTTAGCACTGATGAATAAATTCACCCTAATGCCAGATAATTTACTGGTAACTTCATTTATGAAAACGGGTTGGGAAAATGGGTTAATTTAGTTTCTGAATATAATCACATAATAATAATAATATCAGATGACAGTAATACTGTACACTGAATGACTGAGTACATAGTGACAGTCTCTTTTTACTTTATTATTTGCACCAACATCCGTGTTCAAAATGTGACTAACAATTATACTTACAGGTTTCTTTACCTTAAAACTGTTCACTTATTATTACCCCTTTTGAGAGAAGGATAACTTAAATGCTTGAGAAGCTTCGTCTATGCTCCATACCTTTTGTGGAACCACTTCATTATCATCTAACAATAATGTATGACAGTTTGACCACTAAACATGCCTCCAAAACCCAGAGTCAAGTATATGAATAAAAATAAACCGTAGGACTTTAGCAAAGTTAATTAACATAGAATCAAAACGAGAAACTGAAAATAAACTAGTCAGTATTGTTCCAGATACCAATATCTTAGAAAATGTTTGATACATTATAAAGTAGGTTTTACATATGCAGTATCAAGCGGGCTATCACAGACACCATGAAGTTTACAAACGTTTCATATAGGCATTAACAAAGTCTTCGTAATAGGACCAAAAACTTCTTTACTATCTGCAATTCTTGGATGTAATTGTTTCGACATAACTACACACCTCAGATTTGACAATTTTTATCACCTAAATGGTGAGAAGGCAATTCTGTCAAAGATCTTCATCGTAGTGGGGATGTTTACACACGGAACATTGCGTTTAAAGAAATCATACATGAACAATTTTCATCAAATGTTAAAATGTGGGAAAATTACCTGAATAAAGGCCAATTCGAGTCACGCTTAATGTGAGGATCAACAACCGTAACGAGCTTTCGACCTTTAACATTCAATTTATCAACCATTTCTTTTGGATTTGGAAATTTAGTTCTATCCCAAGTAAAATAACGTTTTCCATCAGTGTGTTCAATGTCTAACCACAAAACATCAACAGGCATTTCATATTCATCAAAATGTTTGTCTACAGAAAGTAAATCAGCTTCATCATTGTAGTTCCATCTACACTGATGATAACCAATCGCAAACAGGGGTGGTAACTTGGTAGTACCTACCACACTAGAATAAGAACGCATTGCTTCAGATGGAGTACTACCCATAAACACATATAAATCCACTAAGCCGGACTCAGATATCCATCTCGTTTGTACTGAAGATTTCTCTGGTTTCTTCGAAAAGAAACCTGAAAATATTCCGCTATTTTGTGAGTTCGAGTGATCAATGTCTATCCATGTCTCCGACGGATTCAGCCACAAGACACCCACAGTATTGTTTTGATTGTGCCCCCACATAACAGGGACAGAGCCATATAAGGCCATTTTATTATAGACCTCATATTCGAATACATCAAGATTATAAAGTCTGTAGGGGTCGCCATCACTTGTAGTTTTCAAAACGAATCCATCAGCATGTTCTGGGATCCCATAGACGTGACTGAATCCCTGAAAGTCGAAATCCATGGAGATAGAGTTTAAGCCGTGAGGTCTTGTGTCAAGATGTTCCTTGAAATATTCTGACCATGACTGATCTTCCGGAACTGTGTTCTCTGTATCTATATGATCTTGTTTTTCATTTTCTTTGTCTTCATCGGTAGTAGAGTCTTTTGGTACATCTGTATTTCCTGAAGAATCTTCGGAACTATTTACAGTAGAAATATCAACCTCATGATTTTCACTTGGTAACGTATGGTTGTCATTTTGAGATACTTTATTTTTATCGATAATTGGTTTTTTTCTCTGATGTTCAAAATTTAAAAGACTTCTCTTATTTGCTGATGCTACCACAATGTCATTCAGGAAAAAATCGATATGAAAAGGGTTATAATACACGACTGCCTTGTATCCAGACTGTCCATCCAACACTAAACTATTCTCAGCAAATTGACACCTGACAGGGGCCTTTTGAACGCCTGGCAAAACGTCTCCTGTAGGCACGCGATACCTTTTATACTCATCTGTCAATTCATCAATGAGTACACGGAAGATGGAGTGTTGATTATAGGTAACATCCAGCGACAGATAATGGTTTCGATCTTCAGTGTAAATAACTGCAGTTATTCCATATGGGTTTATCTTGACAGAACTTGGTTCTAACCTGTGCGCAAGTTCCCCGGGTTTTATTTGTCGTTGTCGAGTACAGAACCTGTAATATGAGTAAACTATAAAATCATTTAACTTACGAGCTCTGGTCACATGTTTTAAAATTAGCACGATCTACCGACCATGAGATATTGAGTATCAGGAAAAGTAGACCTAAACTCTCTGGCCTCAAAAACATGTTGAAAGAACTGTATCAACAGGTTAACGGGTTTTGTTTGGTAAAAAAGCGAAGGAACAATCTTGTGTGGGATTCCAGTTCGCCAGGTCAAATAGCGTAACAAGGAGTCTGAGAAAATGAAAAGCATAGTTCTAAAACTCAATAAGCATATTTTAAATAACCATATGAATACAATATAATAAGTAGTCAGTGATCGATCCACGAAGTAGGATTCTAGAATAACAAACGCTGATAGCTATTTTTGGAGAAAACGCCTTTAACCAATTGGTATGGAGCTGTAAACACAGTAGAAAAAAGCTGTTGGTCGCCCTCTATCAAGCTAGCATCATATGAAAGATAATAAGAACTAACTCATCTAGATTCATTGAACACAAAATACTCATTTAGTGATAATGAAACCAGCAAACGTTAATAGTGAGCAAGATCACCAACAATACTATCTGTAGATGAAAACCCATCTTAACTGATCTACAGCAAATGAAAGGGGCAACCTTATGACCAATAGTATAATCTACTAGACACAAAACAGAAGCCGTCATAAGCCAAAGTCCATTCAGACAACTGACATTCAGAAGTCTGTAAAAAATGGTATGTCAGGTGCTTACGGCTAGTTAAGTTCAGAACGGGGTGTGTTAAATCCTGACAGTAAGATTAATATGAGTATCGTACGACTCTGACTCTTCAGACTAATCAATTATGCAAATTACACAATTGATCTTTATATTAGCTAACCTATCACAGAGCACGCCACATGTGATTATTTTTGTCTAAGAACGCTTTGCGCTCTGTATATCGTCTGATGAATCTATGTGCATAAAATATAGCACTTCATATTCAACTTCTTAATATCAGTTATTTTAGCCTGTCATGCAACAGAATGATTATGATACACTAAATTAATCTGAAATATATAAACAATAAAACACAGATTGCTCGAAGTCAGATGGACACTAAAAACTAGCGAGCCCGACTGAAGAGGTATATGCCGCCCATCTATGACAGACTACCACAGAGTTTGCGCATCAACGAGGTTGCGGTTAGAAATTAACGTGCGCTACTACGATCTCAGCCTAATGAACAAACCCGTCATACTTTAGGAGACTGGTGAGCCTAATGTGACTTCATTTTGAAACCTTCTAGTCCGAAGTAAGATTCACTACCGTTGCAATATAGGCTTGCCAACCTTTTGCCGATGACGTGAAACTTTGGAGAGAGAGATACGCAACCAAGACGATACACAGGCACTTCAGGAGGATCCGACTCGACTTCAAAGTTGGGCAGATGATAACGGACTTACCTTTAACACTTCAAAGTGTAAAGTAGTCCGTCTGCGACATGTCGCAAACTACAGTTACAACTTAGGAAACTCCTCTCTAGTAGTATCCCAAGTCGAAAAAGATTTAGGAGTCCTGGTGCCCCATGATTTAAAGTCTTACGCTAATTGTGACAAAAATGCCTTCCGAGCAAACCTTGCACTGGTAACGTTGAAGCGCATTTTTGGCCAGTTTGACGGAAGAACTTTCCACGCAATCTTCAATAGTTTTATCCGTCCCCATTTAGAGTACGGAAGTATAGTACTCCCCCCTCACTCCAAAAGGACAAGGTCACTTTGGAGCGTATCCAACGGCGAGCCACGAAATCAGTTCGCGGACTCAAATCTAAGCCTTACGAAGAACGCCTCCATTCACTAGACCTTTACCCATCAGAGTATAGGCGTCTTAGAGGTGATTTATTAGTGGCTTATAGTATTCTTAACACTTCTAGACATCCTCTTAAACACCTACTCAAGCTTAGTTCGAATACTAACCTTAGGGGTAACACCCAGAAACTGGAAACTCAACATAGCAAGACGGGATGTAGACACAACTTCTACTCCTTAAGAGTTGTCAAAAGCTGGAATTCGCTGCCGGCCGAGCTAGTCCAAGCGACTTCTCAGGAGTCCTTCAAGAAGCAACTTGACCTATTCTTAAGGACCAAGGACAGTATCATACTATGATTTACCAATTCCTTTTCCTCTTTTATTGTTAACATACCTAGGTTCCTGCCTGGAGGATATGGTGATCCCTTGCTACTAGACACGGAAGCCTGTTAAGCGAAAGCTTCTTCTATTCCGTCCACAACCATTTGAACCATTTGAATTTGAATATTATGATGTCCATGTTCATTACGCGGTTGCCATCGCCCTATGAACATACCCTCCAGCGAGATAATAACGCAAAGCAGATGGTTTGTAGGTCGAAACAACACACTTTCTTGATAGAGTAAGCGCACTATGTGCTGTGTACACACCGTACCACGTACGGAGATCGTAGATAAGGCATTACATGACAAGGAAATAACCGACAACCCTATAAAGGCATGTGACAGACCTACGTTCAATAGCAAAACCAAAAGACAAATACTAATGATGTCACAAACTTGAGGTTCAGGAAACTTGACAAACCAAACCTGAAGTGAGCGAAAGCCCTTGAACGCGTCAAACGGCCTACAGTCAAGACACGCGCCGGTGAATATTCACTTCAGCACAGGATAATTCTAAATCTAAACTTGTTGAGACCTGTTCAGAAGAGACTTTCGCTATATTAACACAGCACTTCGTGGAAATTATTCATTGTAATATCTACTGGTAGTCTTGAGCATATGAAAGAAAAGTGAAGGCATATCAGATGCTAATTTATCACTAAATAATTTAAAAGCCATGATCAAGTCACATTTGATTCTTCTATAAGATAATGGAAATAGATTTAACAAGTCCAACAACATACGGGAGCTTTGATATTCCGGGAATCAGTTTAGTTGCAGTTTTCTGAATATTTTTCAACAGATCACTTTTTTATTTTAGACAGAAGTTTGGGACACACGAATATTGTAAATAAAGTCAAAAAAAGTTTAAGCGCCTACATGTCTAAACGCTCTACGTATTGACCAAAGTGTTCTGAAAACTTTGGCGGCTATTGCAATGCAGTGTGCAGTAGTTTATAGGTTTGAACTAACGACGGCTCCTAAAACAATGTGCGTCCGGACAACAGGCAGCTCAATAATATTCACCGTGTATGGATTTCAAGACTAACCGTATACTGAATCCTTTATTCCGTTCAGCGACACTTTTTCAAACATTTCATGGTACTGATAGTAGTGTGATTTCTCTGTAGTTCACACATGTGCCGAGATTTCCTTTCCTTGGTATGTTGATGGAGTATTTTCCTCTCTAGTCTGTCGTCACTTGTTCCTCCTCTTTTCTAATCTTCCTGAATAGTTTGAGGAGCGTGTTTGCAGTTACTTCTATGTGCGACTTCATGCTTCAGCTAGTGTGTTGTCAGGTCTTTCTGGTTTCCATCTGTTGATTTGTCTGAAAGCCATGTTGGTTTCTTCGATTTAATGTGGATTAGAAACGTCTACAGGTGCTGCTTCGATGTTCGGTGAGTTCAGTGAGTCTGGTCTATTCAAGAGTTTTCCGTCTTCTACCCATCTGTTCTTATGTTCTTGAATCTCGACGATTGTCTTACATTTGTCCTTGACCGATCTCTCTAGTTCACTTTATTTCCCTACCAGTTCCTTCAGTGTGCCATAGAGTTGTTTTGTATTTCGTTCTCTTACAGTTTTTTTCGCTTTCGTTGGTAGGTCTTCCATGTATTTTTGCTTGTCAGCTCTAATGCCCCTCTTCACTTGCTCGTTCGCCTCTGTGTATTCATCTTGTGCTTGGACATTCTCTGCACTTGTTCGGCTGTTGTTAATTGCTGTATACTTGTTCTTCCTTTCTTGAATTTTGTAGAAGGTTTCTAGGAGACCCATTCCTTATGATGATACTTCTTGCGACCCAGAACCACCTGACGCTTTGAAGTTAGTGCTGCTTTTGTCCCTATTCAGTTGTCTTCCATAGTAGTTTTTTTCTTTTAGTAGATCCGGTAAGGATTAGAACCTGTTGTTGTGAGCTATCTTGAATTCGTTGAGTTTGTTAGTACCTCGAAAGAGGGTTATATTAAACCTTTGTAATGCTGTTCTCCCAGTTGTTTAGTATTTTTTTAACTTCAGTTTCATCTTGGCCACCAACAGGTAATAATCTGAAGCTATGCCAGCTCCTCTCCTGGTTCTCAGGTCTTCCATCGACGTTCTTATTTTTTTAGTGATGTGAATATGATTGATTTGATTCTCTGTAATGTGATCCCGTGAGTCTCATGTAGTTTGTGAATGTGTTGTTGAGTAGAAATATTGTCACCTATAACCATAAATTTGCAAATCTCTCACCATTCTCGTTCCTCCCCCCCAGTTCATTTCGTCCCATGATATCTCTATACTCAATGTTAGCCACGCGGACTTGGGTGTCTAGGTCTCCCATCAGAATGATTAGGTCATTTGCTTCGCTATAATCTATTGTAGCCTTTCGTAGAACTGGTCTTTGTCGTCGTTGTTGCTATCATTGGTGTGTGCATAACACTGTATAGCGTTCATTGTGATTCCCTTCTTCTTCGTTTTGGGTATGCTTTGATGATCCTGATTCATGAGATTACCATGATCCCAACTTCGTTATCATAAATTGTGGATCGCAAAAATACATCCTGGTAGGATGGATGAATCGCCCACCCCATTTAGATACTAACTGGGACAAGTTGTTAACACTTTTTATTGTTTCCCACCAACCACACACGTTTAGATTCATCGGACATACATTTTGCTCAGCCCTGCGTCACATGCAGTTCGGCCTTGGTACCGTGACCATATAACAAGTTGGCGAAACAACGGAACGTTTTGGATGTGTCTGACAGGTGTGAATGCTTACTGGTAGAAATAATATACTCGACTCAATATTTACAACGAACTCCGACCCAGTTGTAATGCAGTTGGTAAATTTTTATGAGTGATTGCTATACCGTCAGACTCTTAAGCTACAGTGAAGTTCTAGAATGGGCAGTATAATCGAGAAACATGGAAGCATAGTGAATCTCTTACTCGGTGTTTACAATGGGAATCATGCTTCACCACAATTAACACTGACATTGAACTTTCCGATTTATGCATCTATTTGATGCATTGCCTTGACTCCACCACTCCGAAACGCGACTATGTCACTTATATCGCTAATAGGCGGCATAATACTTTCAAAACTGTTGAGAGAAAGCTGAGGAAATGAGTTTGTGCATTTTTCGCGTGCACTTTTAAGTATCCCAAACATAATTGCAAAAATGATTCATTAGAAGCAAGTGCCTTTTGATTGTATAGAATAAAGCCCCAAAGTAAAAAGACTCAAACTTATCAGTACTTCGACTGGTCAAATCCCGTGAGGAAGGGAATTCTCTTCATACAATTACATTTTTCATAATTAATGATGACATTTTAGTCAACAGTTATTCTATTCACGTCAACTTAATCACTATTTCTGGCGGTGTCACAGTAATTTCTTATGGCAGTGCACCTGCTTATGTTTCTTAATCATTCGTGAAGTACGGAAGTAGACGATTTTCATTGCACAAAAGAAATCGAAACACCACAAATCATCGTTGATCAATCAATTGAATGAAACTCATTACTAGACATCATATCGATTTGACAGTGTGTATCGGAGAAGCTTACGGAACCTTCTTAGACACTACGGTTTACCCGAAAAAATCGTCAACATCATCCGGCATTCACACGACTGACTACACTGCATGGAGGACAGCTGACAGACCCATCCTGATTGAGGATCGGGATCGGACAAGGAGTTCTCTCTCGCGCTTTTTATTACATCTGATGGTTGATTGGATGGTAAAGACCTTTACATCTTAAAAGAATCACGAAATACAACAGACGGATTGAATGCAACCAGACGATTTGAGCTTCGCAGAAGATTTGGCCCTTCTATCTCTTACTCAAAAACAAATGCAGGTCAAGACAACCAGTGTGTCAGAAGCCTATCTACCAGTAGGCCTCAACACACACAAGGGACAAAACAAGACTCTCAAATACAACACGGAGAACTATGACCCAATATTACTTGATGGAGAAGCTCTGGAAGATGTGGTAACTTTCACGTACCTGTTAAGTATCAGCGATGAACAAGGATGATCAAATGCAGATATAAACGCACAGATCGGTGAAGTAAGGCCAGCATCCCTACAGTTGAAGTACAAATAGGACTCAAAACAACTGTCACCTAGCATCCAAGTCAGAACCCTCAATAAGATAATTCTACTGTACTGAGGTGAGTCATGGAAAACAACTTGTCACGTTCAAATCTTTGCTCGTTCCCATTATTGAAGTACGGTATATCGATCTATTTGCAATTTACGAACCCCAATTAACAATAGAACCAAACTCCAATTTAGGTATCAAAGTTTATTTGCAATTAACAAATAGTTTTCCCAAATGTCAAGAACAATAATTATAATAATTACAAAACAAACGTTCAATTTCGTAGGTTTCCGTAGCAAGAACTCCCAAATACCAAACCAAAAACAAAAGAAACCAAAGTGTTCAAAACTAATGATATAAACAAACAAACTCAGAATTTGAGTAAAACAAATACATCCAAAAAACACAGTAAAATTAATAATATAAAATATAAAAGTTGTAATTAGCCAAATATCTTTAGTTCTCCCGTAAAATTACTGCAACCATTTTCAAAACAGTACAAGGATTTACGAAACAATTATGTGGCGGACCAAACAGATATGAATGCAAAAAGTATAAACGAAGTTATTAAAAATTAATAGTAATATTAATATGTATAATTAATTGTTACAAATACAATAAAAATTAGGGACGTTACTTAAATTGATCAGACGTTGCGTGTTATGATTAGGTCCATTAAAGTAAATCCACAATTACAAATGTTTGTTGATTCTGAGCAGGTTAGCAAACTCTCTAGCGATATAGTCCAACATAGGATTTGATATATTACGGTTACAGTCTATAAATGTAGATGGAATTTGATTTAGACTTCAGATAGCTCAATTAAAAATGAAAGTAGAACGAGGAGTGTGTGAGAAGCATTGTATTTGTTAGCCAACAGCGGTATATCACGCTATGTAGTATGTACAACGGAAAAGTGTTCAAGGTCATTTACTAAAACAACAGTTACAGTCATTTAATGTTAAATATACATACAGTGAAAGGTTGACAAAATAAATACAAATAACATTGAAAACTATTTACAAAATAAGCTTGTCGGGTCCATCTCCACAATTATCTACTCAATGTACTCGATGTCCATTGAACGGATACCATCAACAGATGAAGAGGAAATTCGAAAAGTTGGAGGTGGATAGGACATACATTGCAGAAATCATTTAGCTGCATCACGAGGCAACCTCTAACTTAGAACCCCAAAAAAAATTTAAAAGAGGGAGGCCAAAGAACAAGTTGCACCGGGAATTGGAAGCAGACATTATAAGGATGAGAACTTGTCAGTATGACAACAACAATAAACATTGCCTCAAACAGGACAATAATGTGTGTACTAAGCTGTTGTTGATGAATCTGTCATAATTCATGTGGCTCAAGTTACTTAAAACTGACTAAAAGAT